GCAATTTTCTAATTTCGACTATGCGTAATATATGCTTTACGCATGCGCGCGTTGAAAGAAATGTTTAATAAAGTAAACAAATAAATATTAACCTTTTTTTTTTTTTTTTTTTTTTTTTTTTTTTTTTTTTTTTGTAAATTTTGATACCCTTTAGATCATAATTGCTCTTTATTTCATAAATTATAATTTTTATATTTTTAATTTCATAATTTCTGCATGCCATCTTACCAGATTTAAATTGATGATCTATAATCTGGAAAAACCGATAATCCGGATTCGCGAAGGTCCCGACGAGTCCGGATTCAAAACTTTTGACTGTAAATCGCTTCAATAAAGACATTAAACGTCTTATCAAAGAGTTCAGAGAGGAATTGTGGCATGAGAAAATACTAAATTTGAACATTACTGATGGCTCATTTTGGAAACTCGTAAAAAATTCTAAGTCCGATTTTGCTAGTAACCGCCCACTTCAGTATGGCAATCAAATCGCGGTAGCCAATAGCGACAAAGCTAATATATTTGCTGCCTACCTCTTCAAGCAGTTCCAACCAAACGATTGGCAGCGGACCCTAAATTCGAATTGACCACTTTAATGAAAGTGAGAGACTGGTTAAATGCTCCATCAGTCAGAAATCTCATCCTTTTAACTACTCCCACTGAAGTGATGAACATCATCAAAAAACTAAATAAGAAAAAAGCACCAAGTATTAATGGTATTTCAAAGAGAGCCATTTGTGCATTACCAAAAAATACCATTTACAAAGTCACCAGCATTATCAACGCCTGCTTATCTACTTCTTATTTCCCGACTAATTGGAAAATGGCCAAGATCATCCTCATACCTAAACCTGAAAAAGATCATACTCAACCTGATGGTTACAGACTCATCAGTTTGCTACCAGGATTAGGAAAAGTGTATGAACGAATCCTACTCAATAGATTAAAACCCTATCTTAGCCTTCTCCCCCTGAGCAGTTTGGCTTTCGTGCAAGTCTTTCCACCCCAAAGCAATTATTAAGAATCACGGAATTTACAGGAGCTGCTCTTCACTCCAAGCTCAATATCGATCTCTTCATGCTGGACGTGGCAAAAGTTTTCGACCACGTCTGGCATGACGGACTCATAGTTAAACTGGTTGATCTCCGTATGCCAAGAAAACTCATTCTAGTGATTCTCTCGTTTCTTAGAAATCGCACCTTCCGTGTTGCTGTGGGAGATGCACTTTCTGCTACTAAAAACATCGATGCTGGAGTTGCGCAGGGCTCGGTCCTTGGGCCCTTACTCTTCCTATTTTATGTGCATGACTTCCCAAATATGGAAATTCACAATAATGCTTTACTGGCCTCTATGCAGACGACATTGCTCTAGCGAAGTCTGCAAACGTTAATTATGCAATCAAGCAATTTCAGAAAGTCGTCCCTCTTATTGAGAACTGGTGTATGAAATGGAAAGTCAGTATAAATGCCCAAAAATCTCAACTACTGCTCATACGCCGAAGGAAAAGGAATGCTCCCTTAAGAAGTCAACTGACTCTTCAATGAAGAAGTCCCCAGGGTACAAGAAGCCAAATACTTGGATGTCATACTGAACCATAAGTTTACATGGACTTCACACATAAATCATGAATGTAACAAAGCCCTCAAAGTCAAGAAGTGCTTATACCCCAGGATCGGAAAATACTCTAAGTTGGACTTAGCAAGAAAGAAACTTGTTTACACTTCCATTATACATCTGATAATAACCTATGCATCACCCACCTGGGCTGTGGCAACCGATAAAGACGTTCAAAAACTCCAGATCATGCAAAATAAATACTTACGGATAATAACAAACGCATATTATTTTGTTCGAAATGATCTCCTTCTCAGGGACCTGAAACTGGAATCAATTAAGGATTACCTGCATAAGACTAACGTGAAATTCTTTGAAAGTGCAAGAGACTGTACTCATCTGCAGCATTTTAGAATTTTCCATTACGATATCATCAACGAGGATAAGTATCTTCGACCTTTTGCTGCCTTTATGATCCAAGAGCATGGAAATTTAAATTTTCCAACTTAATCTCTACTAATTACTATTTTACTACAATCATGAACTTATGAGTGCTAATTCCTGTGCTTCTGCTGATAGGATGATCAAATTATGTCACCATGATTATACTAGCAGCTTTTCTGTGTTCTTGGTAGCTTCTCATAATTAATCATCCAGCAGTAACTTTTATGCTGTCTATGTACATATGTAACTATCACTAAAAATTTCATTTACTTTACTATTTTATTCTATTCCGTTTGATTTATGTACATATTACATCTGGATTCACTGGTTGCTGTAGCAACGATCAGAATAACATGACTGACCTGTAGTGCCCATTGAGGGGTGAAGAAGGCGGAATAATAATAAATAAAATCTGGATTCACTATTGCGACGGGAGAGAGTGTAACTTGACTATGAACTTTTGATTACCAAGTACTTTGATACATTTTGAATTATACAACTTGATGAGACCAAGAACTTTTCAATGCAGACCTCATTTTAGTACTTTAAGAAGATGATTTTCATATTTTATCTTTTATTTTTCGATATGAAAACACTTTTTTCAGTTTTACTACTGTGGTGTATCCACTAATCCGATGGCGCTCGCTGCTACACGACTATTGGTCACGCCCCCTTTCACCAACTAGTCTGTGCCAACTGACCTATGTTCAACATTCGTTTACCTGATGCGCTCTTTGAAGCATAGCCAGAACAAAGCATGCAGCATGCATGCTATTCGCAGCATATTCATCGGAACTTGGAATTTACTTGAAGAAAATCCAAAATAAAATGCTAAGAAGAGTATCCTGCCATTAGACTGCAAAATTTCTTTCTGGTTCAAAGATACACATTTTTACAATTATGGAAAAACATGGATAACAACCTAACCAAAAGATATGTGTGTACCACATATGTGATAAATGATGCTATCAGTGCAGTGCATCATTGCTACCAAATGCATTAAAATAAGAATACAATAAAGTTATTCTTTTTTTTTGGGGGGGGGAGATGTGCAAGGCTAGTACAATGTGCTTCCTCATGTTATCAAAATAGTATACATTAGAATAATTAAGTAGGAGATTTTATTATTTTGAGTCCATATCTCCCAATACATATTTATTTTTTTTTTAAGTTTAGTCAACTAAAAAAATCTCAGAAATGATGAAAGGTATACTGCATCAGATTTTTCTGTCTTTCTTTTTTCAATACAGTAAACAATAAATTTTTATTGGACTGTCATCTTTCACATAGTTTATCAATTGAACAACTGTTTTAAAAGATAGCTGTATCCTATCTGAAAAAAACGAAACCTATCTTTTTGCTGACTCTTAAAACAGCAACATTTTTTCGTCTTTTACGGAATTCAGGTATATCATTCTGATAGTCAGAATGTATCAATGCCTAGTTATATTTGTATCTGAAGGTAAAACAAACATATGAGAAATGTTTTGATAATTCATTTTTTTCATTTATATAATAAAATATTGTTTGTTTTTATGTAATATAGTCTAGGAAATTAAATGTCCTATTTATTAAAATGAAGTTAATTTTCTGGTAAATTCAAAAACTTTTATTTACAGTAATAGCCAACTATATATACGTAATAAAAACAAAGTCAGAAGTAATTGAAGAGTAGTAGGAGGAATTTTGATGGCTTAGTAGTCTTGATCCATAATGATAAGGAAATTGGAGGTGAAGGCAGATTAACTCTTCAGTTTTATTTTCAGCAACATGTTGCGGCTACACACAAGTCGGCACATTGAATGTGCCTGTTCTAAAAGGCTTACATTTTTGATAATTTTGTATCAAGAAAGCAGAGCAAACAGACAGCAGCGTAGCTAGGCCAAAGCATGTAAAGCAAGTGCGGTACGTTCAGGATGAAATCTGAATTCAGACTGAGTTAGTTTTGGTTCTCAAAGCATTTTGATTGGATAGTTAATATTTCTGTAAAATTATAATTGGCTGCTTGAGTTTTAGTTCAGTTTACATTTTTCATCCTGAACGTACCGCACTTGTTTTCCACACTTTGGCCTAGCTATGCTGCTGTCTGTCTGCTCTAATTTCTTGCTACAAAATTATCAAAAATGTAAGTCTTTTAGAAAAGGCACATTTAATGTGCTGACTTCTGTGTAGACGCAACATGTTGCCGAAAATAAAACTGAAGAGTTAATTTGCCTTCATCTCCAATTTCCTTGTCATTATGGATCAAGCAATCAAAATTCCTCCTTCTGCTCTTCAATTACTTCTGATTTTGTATTTCTTCTGACAACTGAAATCTGAAGTCAGACTGAGTTAGTTTTGGTTCTCAAAGCATTTTGATTGGATAGTTAATATTGCTGTAAAATTATTATTGGCTGCTTGAGTTTTAGTTCAGTTTACATCATCAGAATTATCTAAGAGTCATATGACATAGATTTTTCTCAAGACCACGCAGTGCAGAGAGGGATTACTATTTTTAGAATAGAGAAGGGAAATTAATTTACACTGCTAATTTAATCTTTACATATTCTTTTTCTTACGTATAGTATATACATACATTATTTCTAAATTTTATACAAAAAATTGTATGCTGCGAGACTGTATAGTCATGTTTTCTAAAGATGTTAAAAAATTTTATTACCTTTGCTTCATATGTTTAGATACTAGAGTTAAGCCTAACCTCACAATTTTATATTTCAATTCTTCGAAAAAGAAATCAGTTTATACACAGAGGTAAATAATAATGGAAAGGTAGAAAGACTAATTGGAGGAAGTAAAAACTTAAAATTTCAGAAGTTAAAATTATAATTCAAAAGTTAATGTTTTCTAAAAAGTAGTTAAATTTTTATGAAAGACTGCCTATTATATACTTTTTAAATTTTTTAAAAATTATCTATTAAGCTAATCATTAGCTGTTATTCTGCTGGTAATGTATTAATATTTAAATATAAGAGTTTTTAAGTTTTAATTGATAATGATTCATTCACCTTTCTCATTGTACAAAATCTTCATTTTCTTTTTATATGAGAGATTAGGGATCATACCATCGAGCAAAGCAAAGGGTGAATTCATATCTGAAATGAAATGGAAGTTAAAAAGAAAATATTGAAATATTATTGAAATTTATTTATTAAATTATTAATCAATTAAATAAGTGTTATATATTGCAATAAAAATTTCTACAAAATAAATTTCTACTTTTTTTCAATATAAGAATTTCAAAGAAACAATAATCAAATTATATGGGCATCAGTAGAAGTCATTCAACATAAAATTTTTAGTCTACCTGTGAAAAGTAAATCATTTCTTTAACACTTATTAAAATTCAGTCACAGAAAAAAAAATGAATGAAATTTTATTCTTTCATGTTACTCTTTTGCATCTACTTTATTCTTTTTGCAGTTTATTATTTCTAATGGAAATTCATAAACTTCTATAAATACAGAATCTTAAAGTCTTTTAAAATATTGTTTTAAACATTCTTTCGATTCCTCGATTTATACAACTATACATAAAAATTTTAATTTCTTATTCAAATCAGTATAGATATATATCTAAGTATGAATGACAGGATTTAATATAAGAACAGATTCATGTACAGTAATAATGTAAATGTGTTTTCAATGCAACACAGTAGCTAGTAACTTCAAAATTTTCAGCCATTTCTTCAATAGCATAACAAATTTGATTTCCAATATCTAAATGTAGGGGGGCTGAGGCATCATCATCATCGAAAATTTAGCAAGTGCTTAAAAATACAAAGTACAGAGGGTGTTCATACATTTTTTGAACAATTTCAATAAAGAATTAAAAAAAAGCATATGTTTTGAAATAAAAATTTCTTACAATAGTTTATTATTTGAAATAAGGAATATCATTCATTACTTTTAAATTTATTCCTTCAAAATGTGATTTGTAAGCAAGTTGTGATTTGAAGGATATGTTTTTGCAATTTCTGAAGAGACACATTTCTTATTCCATTATTCAAGAACGTGAAATGCATGGATTAAAATTTCGAAGTGCAAAATAAGCAACATTATTAAGTGGAAAAGGACAAACCATTAAACATTGCTTTTATATGGAAAGAAGACACCAATATTTGAAAAAGGTACTTATCGTTTCTAATGTTCCTAAAGTTGTTGGTAATAAAAGAATACCCTTTGATGCAGAAATCATTTGCAGTCTTTAAATAATCTGTAGCAACAATGCATACAATAACAAACCAAGATTTATATCTTAAAAAAGCTAAAAAACAAAATGTTAATTAGATTTTGCAGAGGCATGCGACACAATGCAAAATAATTTGTAGAACCCTCTATGAAAGCTATTTTTTATTGTTCACTGGCTCGACAGCCCAGGGTGGGACCTATCCATCTCCAAAGTCATCTCCAGGCATCTCTGCTTTAGACAACTATTTTCCAGTTTCTGACCTTTAGAATGTTTCGGTCATTTTCAACACAACTGATTCATCTCACCAGTGTCTACTACGAGGTCGCATGGGCTATGCCAAATTTTTGTAAAACACCGATCTTTATGCATTCTGGCCACATGACCAGCCTGTTTGTAGTAGTCTTTGTAGTTTGAAGAATTTTACTACATTATGTGTCAATAGATTTTCTATAGCTCTAAATTAGATCTTCTTCTCCATGATCCATTCACACAGACGTTAGCAAATATACAACACAAAACCCTTCTCATAAAAATCCCCAAATCTTCCTCATCACGCTGCAGACAAGCTTCCAACACATACATTTAGAACAGATCTTAAAAGATTCTTGTAAAGAAGTAATTTTGTTCTTAGCTTGAGGAAGATGGATTTTGAATAGCTCTTCAGGCCATGAAAACCTGCAACAGAGATTCTTTTAAATATTTCAGAAGTTATCTCATTTTTACAATTCATCTCTGCTTTCAGATAAGTGAAACTGTGGACATTTTCAAATCTAACTAAGTGGTAAGTCAGATTTTAAACAAGGCATATATTTAGTTTAATAGAAAGATGAATTTTTTTGGCACTTTTTTTTCAATGCCATAAATGCCTTTTCAAGATCAAGAACAGTACAGGCAACAATGCAAATATCATCTGCTTAAGCCAGTAATTGAATAATCTTATTAAAAATATTTCCTCTGATATTGATTCTTTTACAAGGGAAAATTACAAATATGAAGATTGGGAAAAAATGTTAAAATCTACTAAAGGTAATCAAGACAGTTTTATGCCTGATACTTATAGAAGAAATGGAATTTCTTCTCAGTGTTCTTTCTTTCAAAGAGAAATCACGCAAAAGAAACAAGTCATAATTCGAAAAGTACTACTGTATACCTTACAAAAATGAAAATTAATACAGGACCTTTTCAGCACATGCCTGCAAAGTTTCCTGATATTGCAACTATGGACTATTGTGCCTTTGGTCTCTTGAAATGAGCTCTTACTGAGTGCACACTGACCAAGATTAATGCATTCTGGAAAGTAGAGGAATGGAAATCAATATCCCTGGAAATTTTATGAAAAGCTTTCTATCATGGAAATCATGATGCAGACTTAAAGTCCAGAGTAAAGGCTATCCGACTGAATATTTATAAAATATACTCTTTTTTATATTTTAGAAATTATATTAAATGACCCCAAAGTCATTCTAAAAAAGTGTAGACCCACTCTATATCAGTGCTTTCAAGTTTTAAAGTAATACCATATGTTTAGCTGTTAACATATAATCCATCCACCTCGTATTTCCATGTTTTAATTTATGATTTAACAGGTGTCCTCAAAAGACTTAATTATGCTTCTTATCATTAATAAATAATTAATGAAAGTACAATGAAGTTTTTATTTTTGCTTAATGCTTTTGTTTCAGATTAAATTTCATAATTTTGATTTTGCTTGTAAGGTTTATCCTAAGTTTCTAACAGTTAATTTTAGTTAAAGCTACTTTCCTGTCCTTCCTAATTTCAGCTTACAATTTTCTGCCAGAATGTGTTTTTAGAATCGCGTTTAATGCAAAGGAGTAAGAGTAGTATTTAAGTTGAAGTTCCACTGACTTCGAGAGAGAGCCTCAAAGTTTCTGACTAGTGTGCATTTACCTTTTGGCTAAGTCTCTCTAAGCTGTTACTACGCTCAGCCACATTAGGCTGCTATCACACATCGGTTTGTTTCGGAAGAACAACTGTTTGGAACAATTCTGCTTTGTTACAACAGCCAATCACCATAGATGGCTTTGGGGGTTAAAATAGGGCAAACTGGTTTCCCATTACAAACAAGCTGATAGCATTCAAAGGTGATTGGTTGAAAATGAACTACTTGCAATTTTTTTTTAAAGGAAGGAGAAAGTCGCATGTCTTTCTTTCAATAGTAAACCAGGCAGAAAAATTGTCCGAAACAGTTGTTCATGTGAAACAAATGCCTGTGTGATATGGGCCTTACAGGACTTTGATAGCTTTGATAGTTTATTCGATATTTAGGGGCCAACTACTTAGAATTTTGATAGCTTCGGCTATATGTCTTTAGTTAAGTCTTATTTCTTATTATTTTGAATTCAAGCCCAAATGGAGGCTTTGCTGTATGCCCTGAGAAAGGGGCTTTCTCTTAAACTTTAATTTTGAACAATAAAGGGTAATTAACCCTTCTAGAGTTAATTAACAAATAATTTTATTTGTTATTAACTTCTAGAGTTAATAACAAATGTAAGCATTTTATTTCGGAAAGGCTGTTAAAATTTAATGCAATAATTATAGCAACAGCTTGACCATTCAGTCCAGTACCAGATGGATGAAAATTCTGGATAAATGAGCATATAATGAATGCAATTCATGGTAGAAAATCCAAATAAATGTGAGAAATTTACAATCTAAAATTATAAAAGTAATCCTATTTGTAATCAACTTGGGTATCAAAAGCCTATATTTTAAATTATGGAAGATTTTAAAAAGAAATACGCTATTCAAACATAAAAGCTGATGTATTCCATAGGTCTTAAGCATATGAAAGTAAAGCATGTTATCTTATTATGAAATTCCATTGTTCATGATAGTCGGCTGTGATGTCTTCAAACTTGCAACAATCATTTCAACCAAAGCTTAAAGGAGCATATTTTTCTTCATTCGATTAGTTAGTTAAAAGGTATGAGTTATGGATATAGCATAAACAGCTTAAATCAGTTTCATAATTCTTCACACTGCATCACTGTTTATTCATTTTCTAATAAAATTATGTATCGTGTCCATTATCCCACAATGCCAGAATCCCATAACTTTGAAAATACTCTAATACATGCTATTCCAGACCCAGATTTTAATCAATTTTTCAACATGACAGGAAAAAACAAATAAATAACACTTAACCTACATTCTTCTTTCCAAAAAACTAAACTAGCTTATAAAGTATTCCTCTAGCTTTCTTAGCATGCCTTCATGGTATAGTGGTCAGCACACTCGGCACATATTCGAGAGGTCTGAGGATCAAGTCCTGGCAAGGACATTGCTCATTTTTCATATCTCCTGCTTTGAAATAACCTAATGTCTCTACAGTGGCACCTGAACTAAAAAAAGGTGATGGATGATGATTCTCCACCACCAGGATTTTTGGCGACTGTGTCCCTTAATACACAGTTGCCCTTTAAAAGAGAGAGTATATTAGGTATTTCTCCTGCCTTCTTAGTATGTCTTCATGGTGTAGTGGTTAGCACACTCGGTGTGTATTCAAGAGGTCCGTGGTTCAAGTCCTGGCAAACGCTTTGCTCATGTTTCATCCTTCCTACTTCAAAAAATCCTAATGACTCTACAAGCTTACGGAGAATAAATCATGCTGATATAAAATGAAGATACGTTTGTAGACTCTTATATGAAGATTAAAACAATGTTTAATCAGTTAATATTTGTATTTATTCTACTTCATCATATGGCACATTAGTAAGTTTATGCATATAAATATTATGTACCCTATTTATTAATTAAATTTTTATTGTACTTGAAAGTACTTTGAAAAATAAAACCTTTTTTTCCCTATTTGAGATTTTCTTAGCATAAAAGTATATGAAATTTAAAAATAAAATTATGCAAAGAGCATGAAATTTAGAATACC